TTTTTTTTTTGAATTCCTTTGAAAACAAGATTAACCATTTGTTTTCTGAATTATTAAGCGACAATTTAAGCTTATTTACTCATTAGCTATGTTTCCTTCTCAGTCGGTGTGATAAATCATTACAGTCGAGGAATGGCAGCGCTCGAAACGAGATGATAATATGCTACACCAATGACCTCTTGAAAAGCAGCTGCTGAAACTTGGCATGGCTCGGCTTGGCAGCGCATACTGCTGTCCTCATCGTTTGTAAGTTGGGAAGTGAGTTGCGAAACTCGTAACCACGCAAAAGTGCCAAATTTTTTGTCAAAATAAGATCTTAGGTGTAGCACACAAGCTTACCACCTCGGATTCCTCAATGAGCATCATAGACTCATATTGCCATCCTCCTCCTCCTCCCCCCCTCACCTCCCACTAATCCTTGCCCCTGCTTCCAGTTCTTACATCCAAGCAAGGCTTCAGCTCCTTTCCAATCAAAAACTCCGTCCCTTTCTCTTCTCATACGAACTCCGAGACCTAAACTACCATCTCCGACTTTAACCTCTCCTTGCCCTATGTCCGCTCCGTCATCCGAGGGTATAACACAATCACTGCAACTCACTTTTTATCTCGGTTGAACCAAGTTTTGGTAACTGCCACCTCGAATGGAGTTAATCCCTCCTAAAGCGCAGTGACCTGAAGTACGGGACTTCTAATGCGTTATTCGTGGGAGGATCGTTTGAGATACACGCTCAATGTAACTTCTTCAAGTCAGTTGTGATTTCGGACAGGTCAGTAAAAAATTAGCACCGGGTGTCAACAAATTGCAAAGAGGTCAGAACGAGGTAGTAATTTCAGAGACCATCATCCGGATTTCCTTCCTTGTCGTCTTCGTCATCATCGATCTTCTGGCCGCGTAGATCCTCGATAGCTCTCGAAATTCCGTCAGAATTACCAGCCGTTACGTTCTTATGTTTCCTCGGTTGGCGATACCCACCAACTACCGCCGCACCAACGATAAGTAAAAAAGTGAGAAATGTTACATGGGCGCAAGTACCAGTGATAACAAACATATTAACAATACGAAATGGATACGTCGCTACCAGTTTTATACTATAGCATTCCACACTTGAATTAGCAAAATCTGCATATCACTTGCTTGAATACTTGATTATTTGAGGTGAACTATTGGTTCATCACTGATTCATGTTCCGAAAGTTTTCAATCGTGTAACCGACAAGCATTTCACTGTCATCTCTGTTCGATGCTACACACCTGCCGTGCGCCATGCATTCGAGTTAGTGAGTCGGGTCAACGCATCAGTTGTCTTCCAGCTGTTGTTTGAATATTTCGTGGCCACCAGTCGTTTATTCGTTCCATCCATCTGCAATCTGTTATGCTAGCCACATGAGCGGTCCAGCTTTTTCGATGGTCAATTTGCGAGTAGATGCTAAAAAGGTCTAATAAAAATTTTTGTTTTAATACGACTTCATATTTATGTCGAACTCTTAACATGTTTTGTAAAGTCTGCGGTGCGGACGCTCTTCGGTGTTTCCTCTATGCCACACTTGAATTGATCCTGCAACGAGTTCCAGACAACGAAACTTGCCAGGCAACGAGGAAGGTTCCGCAGCTTAAGAACTGCTGAATGTCGTTTTACCGATTCCTCAGACATGGCGCTCCAAGAAGTAATCGGAAACAGTACTTTATAATGATACGATATACAGCAATAAACGCTGACGAACAACGACGTCCTGATGGCGTAGAATTCAACTCAACGCGAACAAGACGCAAACAAATCGCTTACATGAATAGTTAGGGCATGCAGTTAGTAGCGAGGGATCTATGTAAATAAGCAGCGTCTCGCACCAGAGCAGCTGGCACAATCATGCTTTCTCGGATGCTTCCTTGCGCATTTACTCGTTATCCTTGCGCAATTCCCTCAAAAATTCTTCATCTAGCAATGTTATGTAAGTGCTTGAATATTTATATGTATGTATGCGCGTGTGTGTGTTTGTGTGTGTAGGTGTGTATGTGTGTGTGTGTGTGTATAATCTGTCGTGAAAACTGAATGCTTAGTTATCAAAGAACGATTTTTATAACTTTCTTATTTCCCAAGCTTCAAGAATTCAACTGTATCACTTACCTGGGGCACTCATCAACTGCTCCTGATAATACTGATCAACTTTTACTTCATCTGTAACAGGCGTATGCATCATACGTTTTGCGCAGTTCTGTCCAGCGAACATTTACTATTAAGGCCGCTTATTACTTCACAGACTGATGCATGCAAAAACATTCAAAATGTCTGGTTTCCGAGCTAGAAATTCGCATCAAAACTTTCGCGTATCCAAACATGAAACTTGATTGCGCGGAAGCTAAAACTCAAATTGTAGGATTGCATGTGAACAGAAGGCATCATCCGAAAACTTCAGCTCTCTTTTGGTTCTCGAAATAATAATTTCACATGTTCGTACATGCGAAGTAGGAGTATATGAGTGCTGAAGTTTAATTTTATGGATTGCTCGCGTCAGGAAGCATCTTTAATCCCTTATGCTTCTCGAATTAGTAAACTTACAGCCAAAATTTTCACGTGTCCTGCACGAGGCTTGGGGAGTATTTCAGTGCTGAAATCAGATTTTCGTGAACACCTTCAGTTCCTCACAGGTTCCAATTTCTAACACAAAAAAGCGTAGGTAAAACGAATCCCGAGCGCGTGTGCACAGCACACACACATACACACACACAAACACATAAACCCATACACACAAACAACTTGTTTTGCAGCGCTACTGGTTTCAGAATGCATTTCTTCAGATCTTCTATCAGAAATAGAAGTAATCAAGGCAAAGGGTTGTTCTCAAGTGGTTCTACCTCTCAGAGAAAGCGGTCAGGAAAGAAATTTTGACTTTAACTTTAAACACTCAGCATTTATTTGGCATGCATGAACAGTTAGAGTTATTAAGTTTTATTACTGACAATTATTTGTTTATTGTTGTATGTTGCTGTTAATCAAAAGCAGTGTAACTTCTATGACCGGCAATAAATACTGTTGATTGAGTTCTGCGGTTTCGCTTTTCTTCATTTCTTTTGGCTTCTGTTCGGAAACATTTTTCGGTCTTTCCGGCTCTTTTTTGAGAGGCTCAGTCTTCTCTTCCGATATGACTGGTTTCAGAAGGCGTTTCTTCAAATTTTCGAGGGTGCTTTTTATAAGTTTTCGTAATATTAACGATCTGAGTGAAGTTGCATTTTTCTGACACAAATATGTCCCACCACCGAAGCGATCACACGATTGCCGTGCAACAAAAATTGTCTCGTTTTCAAAATTCTCCAATATCCCCGGGTACCATGCTAAGCAGCACATGTCACCTTGCCCGCAACGAGACGGTTTATAGACGCGAAATTCTGGCAAATTCTTTATCGGCAGCTGGTGTGGTCGCGAGAAAAGTTTTACCCCGTATTGACCGAACACTACTCTCGTATTACCAGTTAGCATTCCTTCACTGTCCAGTCGAGTTCCAATTACCATATTCCATAAGTATCCCGCCCGTTCCATCTTCTGGCCGGTCTTTTTTGCAATCCACCATGCGAACTTCAGCTTGTCATTTGGTGCGTCCAGAAAATCGAAGAGCCGCCCATGATATTTCTTTCGACAGTTCATTTCACTATTGACCCACGTCTTATCTCCTCTACATATCGGCCAACTACTATTCATACTTGGACGATAGCGCCGTGCTTTTTTACAATAAAACACTCGATAGCACTGTTGTGTTTGAGGTACGTAAAATGAATCGGTGTCCTGACACTGAAGTTTTGAATGCTTATACGATAACTCTTCGATTTCTGAGTACTTTTTATAGTAGTACCGTTCATCGCCCTCTTCATTTCGATCCCAGCTTACTGAAAACAAAATTAATTACTTGATTTTTCTTTGATTTCTTTTAGGAACAAAATTAGGTACTTGCTTTCTTGAATTATTAAGTGACAACTCAAAATGTCTTGCTCAGAATCTAAGTCCCCTTCCCAGTTGGTGAGTCACCTCCTTTTAGTCGAGCGATGAGAACGCTGACGGGATTGAGAATGCTCAACAAATATCAGTAACCACTCGAAAAACAACTACTGAAATTCGGCATGACCCGACTTGGCGGCGCATATTGCACTCGTTTGTGGGTTCAGAAGCGAACTACGAGTGCCGAATTTTCCGTCCAGATGAGACTTTTGGATGAGGGGAGAGAAGTATATTCAATGCTACTGGTGTTGGTGGAAGAATCGCAGCGGCACCAGTAACATGGGATACCAGTACTGGTTGTCCAAATGTTTTTTGGTACCTCTGATATTAAGGATTTGGAGGTGACCGGAAAGATGGCGCTTTTACAGCGAAAGGCTTCTGTTGGTGCACAGTTGATGCGAGGATCGTCTGAAATACATGGTGAACGCAATTTTTTTAACTCCTTGTTACTCCAGAAAAGTCACTATGAAATTAGCACTGTACATATCAAGGAACTGTAAGGAAGTCGAAACAAGGTAGTAACTTCACAGACCTTCAGCAGGAGCTGGTCCAGCAGCCGGCGTGACTTCCTCATCGTCGTCCTCGCCTCCTTTGTGCATATCCTCAAGCAATCTTAATACTTCGTCATTACCAACTTTTCCAGTCGTAACTCCGTTTGCCTCTTGATCAGTTTCTGTGGTGCCAAAGATGAATAAAAAACTGAGAAATGTTACATGGACGCATGCACTAACAAAAAAAAACATACTAACAATATGAAATGGGCGCGTCGCTACCAGTTTTATACTGTGGATTAGCGTAGCTAGAAAAATTTGCATATCATTTACTTGAATACTTGATTTATTCAAAACGAGCACTAGTTCAACACTGATTATGCGTTTTTGCTGTGAAGCGCTACAGCGTTACTAAAGTGAGCAAAAATGCATATTGTCAAGAGGTTGTCCGTATAAGTGTGCAGGAGTGTGTATGCGCACGGAAGCGAGTGAACTCAGCCACCCACTTTCAACTCAGCAATTAGAAAATCTGGGAGGCTGAAATTTTCTGGAAAGATTCCCACCGTACGTATCATTCTCCTGTTTTAAAATCATCGCTCACATGCATCTAGATCTTGTGTATGGACCTTCGAGAAAAGCATATAAATTTCTTTGGTGAACCAGACAAGAAAGAAGGCTAAAATTTTGCAAGGAAATCCTTAATATCAACAGTAACAAAAAACATTTGGACAACCAGTACTTGTTACTGGTGCCACTGCGATTCTTTCACCAAGATCAGTAGCATGGAATATACATTTCTCCTCTCATCCTAAAGTCTCATCTGGACAGAAAATTCGGCGTTTCTTAGTTCGCTTCTAAACCGACAAACGAGTGCAATATGCGCTACCAAGTCGAGCCATGTCAAATTTCAGCAGCTATTTTTCGAGTGCTCACTGATATTTGTTGAACATTATCAGTCTCGTTTTGAGCGTTTCAGCGCTCGACTATGACGAGGTGCCTCATCGACTGGGAAGGAAAATTAGATTCTGAGCAAGTCACTTTAAGTTGTCGCTTAATAATTCAAGAAATTAAGCACCTAATTTTGTTCTCGAAGGAATTCAAAGAAAAAAAATTGGCCAACGCACGGGCTGCCCGTGCGAAGAAGCGCTTTTTGCACAGTTCCCCTCACCGGTTTTTTCGACAAATGCTTCTTGCTTTTCAGATTCCCGAGTTAGCGACCTACCCTCGGAAAAATTTCACGGGCTCGTACGTGGACACCACGCATACCCGATGTCTGGGTTTGAGCTCGTTGAAACTTACGTAGACGAAGAACATCCTCTTAAAATTACAGGTTCCGGAGTTAACAACTTACCCGAAAAAAATTTGGCGGGCTCGTACGTAGGTGCAACTTGAGTAAGAGCGCTCATTTCGGAGACGAGGGTCCGTACGTGCATGTAGATTAAGCTCCTCAAGTTTCAGCTCCGTAGCTTTCGTGGGTCTCGAGAGGAAAAGTCAGAACAGACGCGCAGCGCACGCACAAAGACACACACACCAACACACACAGACAACCTCTCGTCAATATGCGTTTTCTGCACTGCGTAGCTGCAAAAATCGCATGACAAGTAATTAATTTTGCTTACAGCGAAACTGAAAAAAATCAAGCATTTAATTTTGTTTTCAGTAAATTGCGACCGAAATGAAGAGAGCGATGAACAGTATCACTATAAAAAGTACTCAGAAATCGAAGAGTTATCGTATATGCATTCAAAAGTTCAGTGCGAGGACAATGAGTCATTTTGCGTACCGCAAACACAATGCACCAGCCTCACCGCGGTCGATGAATACGACGTAACATGCAGAAGCAAGGTTGATCGTGGACTGGGACTTCATATTGCCGAAGCACGAAATCCTGCCCTATGCGTGGAGCCGCTATGCCTATTTCACTTCTAGCAAATCTTTTTTCAAGACACTGGAATATTTTCATGGAAAAATTGAGCAAGGTGTGAAAATGATGTTTGGAGAACTAAGGCGGTACGTATTTCGGCTGTGAGGATGAATATCTTTCCCCTGCACCGCCAAGATTCCGAAGAAAAGAAAAAAAAAAAATTAAATGGGTGAGTGGGGGTAAAATTTAGCAGAATTTATGTAAATATCGAGAGAGCAGAGCAACAGCGAATTAGGAGGGAAAAAAGCACGATGCTTGAAAGCCTAAGGGCGATAAGCAGTGACAGAGTAAAA